GTCTGAAACTTCAGGACTCACTGGTACTCCCAATTCAGTCACCAAAAGTGATGAGATTGAAAGTGTGAGCCACAATGCCAAGCCATCAATTATTTCTTCTTTTACTCACTTGCTCTTCCTTCTTTGCTGGCGTTTCTCAGATTTCAGAATTTCTTGAATTGCAACCAATAATTCAGCCCCTTTATCAACATTCTGAATTTAATCTGTTCTTGACACATGGTAAGACTTATTATCATTCCACGTCACTTTTTCTTTATTATGCAATTAATAAGAGATTTATTTGGTAAAAAGAACAAATTACTAATTATGACTCCAAATAAACATTCTAACAAATGACATTTTTTATGAAATATAGTTTTTACCTGCCACTTGGTCATATAATAAATATTTTGACTCAGAATCTTCAGCGCCAGATAAATTAGCAAAAGACATTGGTGAAAGACACTTAGAGATGCTCTGTTAAAACAAATCATAGCAATGTATTTAAATTAAAAATGAAACGATAATGAGTTACAAAAAAATGTCCCAATCACTTTCTTTTAAAAATCTGAATTTCTTCCTTCAAATGACTTAAAAATTTAAAAATTATGTGCTGACAAGGAAAACTTTTCTACAGAGAACTTTACTTAGGCTTTCTAGATCATGCTTATGTTTCATCTTGATATGGCTATGGCCTCTGTACACTGAGATTGGAAGGCCACAGAAATATATTCACAAGCTATACAGTACCTTTATGTGCATATCACAGAAAGAAGCTAACTTAAATATCTAACTCAATTTTAAATTCCACATGGAAGATGAAAGGACATTTAAATAATTATGTACTATACTTGCTATATTATTATAGCATTAAATATTTTAAAGATTTCTAGTTATATAATTTTTTAGTGTTAAAAAGTTTAGTACAATAAACTGTGGAGTATGTCATGTTGAATATAAACAGGATATGGTAGAAGCTGCTTTATTTAGGTAACCAAGAGCTTCAAAATAATCTGCATCATTTTTCAAAAATTCTTACTGATACAAAGAATGGTTGAATAAAATAATAAAATCATTTAAAAACTTGTCTTTAGGTTACCTTTAAATAAAAGCAAGCAAATATTAGATATCATAAGTAACTCTCTCCCTATTAAGAAATAACTTCAAAGCATAACAAGTCTTAACAAAGGAATAAGAACATTATGTATGATGCATCTAAAATGTGCCAGGTACTTAATTTCACATTTTCTTTTCTACACATTATATCACTATAAAGCAACTGCACATAATTACTGTACTTTATGGCACAAAAAAAAAAGTAATTCCTTATGAGCACATGCTGAAATGAGGAGGTAATATAAAGCATCCTCTTTTAGTATCATTCAATGCTTATATTCTAGAATCACAACCACAACAATGACAACAGACAATACCTCAGAATTCAGACATGATTCTGTACCTTCCTCTTCCCCAGCTCCTAATACAGATGTTCTACCTAAAAAACAATATTCACAGGCACATTCATGAGAACATTTATCATTGTGTATTTTTTTTTTAATTTTATTTTGAGAGGGAGTCTCACTCTTGTTGCCCAGGCTGGAGTGCAATGACACAGTCTCGGCTCACTGCAACCTCTGCCTCCCAGGTTCAAGCAATTTTCCTGCCTCAACCTCCCGAGTAGGTGGGCTTACAGACATGCGCCACCATGCCTGGCTAATTTTGTATTTTTAGTAGAGATGAGATTTCTCCATGTTGATCAGGCTGGTCTTGAACTCCCGACCTCAGGTGATCCACCCGCCTCATGCTCCCAAAGTGCTGGAATTATGGGCATAATCTGAGGCCTGACCTCAGAAGTAATTTTAAAGGGTCGAACACAGTGGTTCATGCCTGTAATCCCAGCACTTTGGGAGACCAAGGCAGGTGGATCACATGAAGTCAGGAGTTCAAAACCAGTTTGCCAACATGGTGAAACCCAATCTATACTAAACATACAAAAAAAATTAGCTGGGCATGGTGGTGCACCCCTGTAATCTCAGCATTTTGGGAGGCTGAGGAAGGAGAATTGCTTGCACCTGGGAGGCAGAGGTTGTGGTGAGCTGAGATCACACCACTGCACTCCAGCCTGGGCAACAAGAGTGAAACTCCATCTCAAAAAAAAAAAAAAAAAGTCATTTTAAGAAGTTTTCTCTGGTTATTAGAACATACTAGTGCTCGTGTTTTCAAAGAGGCATTCTGTCAATTGACTTGTTCTGTGATATACAGCTTTTACCTTTTTCTCGCCCATTTACTATATTATATTTTGTCTTACAGTCTGTAGTCCCAGACACATGACTGCCACCATTAGCTGTGTGATTCTTGGAGATCTTCTGTAAAAATTAATAACAACAATGAGTTTCAACAAGATGTAAAAGAAGTAGTAGTTACATAAAGATTTCCCAAACACTTTCTTTTAGAGAAAGTGTTTATCATTAAGATAACTTCAATTTGGGAACCTAAATTATTTAAAAGATAAACTTACATAGGTTCTCTAAATCAAACTTATTTTTTATGTTCACACAGCTATTGTCTCTACACACCCAGACTAAAAGGCTACAAGAAATAGATACACAGGCTAAACAATAACTTAGGTGCATACTGCAGCAAGAGACTAACTTCAAAATACCTAACTCTACCCTACATTCCCAACCAAACATAAGAGACCACTTAAAATACTATGTAACACACTTGCTATTACACTTAAAGCATTACATATTTTAAAGATTTCTGGTCATAGAATCTGTAAATGTTAAAACAGCACAATAAGAAACTGTGGAGTGTGGGATGTTGCATTTAAACAGAACATGGTAGAAACGGCTTTATTTAGGTAAACAAGAGCTTGGAGAAATAAACACAGTTTTTGATACCAGTAAAATGGTTGAAAAAAATTACAAAGCAATGAGAAAACTTTTAGATTATGTCTGCATATAAGCAAGCAAATATTAGATATAAGCAACTCTCCTCCAGTAATGAAATAACTTCAACAAAGTATACTGAGCATCAGTATATAAAACAGAACAAGAACATTCACTTGTGAAGCATCTAAAATGTACCAGGCAACTTCATTTCACATTTTCTTTTCTATATATTATACTAATACAAATAATGATGATGATGATGATGGTCACCCCACTTTCTTGTCATTCCAGGATGTTAACAAGAAAATGAACAGATGAGATCCATTGTTTCCTCTCTGTCCAGAATGTCCTCCTCCTAGACTTTCCCATGGCTGGCTCCTTTCATCCTTTAGTTGACAGTTTCAATGTCACAAACAGAAACATCTCTGACTACAGAACTCTGCTGTCACTCCCATCCCCATGCTAACTACGAACCTCTTCAATAATCTCTAATCTACCTTCTCTTTTTTTCTTAATAGGAAGGACGTTCAACTTAGAAGACTAGGTTATTTACTTGTTTTTCTCTTCTTGCTGCTGTAACCTATGCCTCCATCATCTAAATTCAGTCTCTCACTGCCTAGCAAAGTTAAGTGTTCAACAGCAGAAATTCACTTTAGGTCAAAACACAAAATACTGTGGGAATGTCTCAAGTGTCAAACAACTAGATTCCTAGAAGATTTCTCTAATAATAGCCTGCTGAAACTACATGTTCCCCAAATTAGAAATTCGCATGTCCACTCTGACTTTCCCAATCTTTTCTTGATGCTACTGTCATTTTATTGTCCTCCAGGTTTACATGAAGCATCCTCAATACTTATTAAGCCACCAAACATCCCTGTGATCACTTTATCATGCATTAGTGTACCCACTTTCAATTTTACAAAATGCTTTCCAAATTTTTAGTGCATTTGTTCATTATGCATTCCTAAGAGGCACATACTAATACCCTTTTTATGAAGGTCGTCACTTGATCTTTCAAATAGGCTAAATAATTTTTACCAGAAATTCATAGCTAGTAAGTAAAAGCACCAGGATAACAACATGTCTTTTGACCAACTTGGTACTGGTATCATGATACAACAACTGCTTCTAGAAAGCCATGCCCTTTCATCTCTTTCTATTGTCACCTTAGAATAGTCTTCATTTATCATAAAGTTACTCAATGTTTTCTTTTTTTGAATATGATTTCTACTTAATAAAACACCACTAAACCAAACTATTGTGTTTACAGCTTCACTTATTTACAACTCCCCATGCTTTTGCTTCTTCTGAAATGTTTTGGCAGATCTATACTAGACAATTCAAATATGGTAGTACTTTCAAGTTCCAGGCATTATCTTTTCAGGTTTCAAATTGTACAAAACTACAGTCCAAACTCTTTCTCTCTGAATCTCATTAGCACTTTTACACATCCAGGTAGACCACAGAATCATGCATTTAGCCATATACTGACATGGAACAGTTTTTTTAGTTTCTAGATAAACTTAATTTTAGAGCCCAAACTGATTCCTTGTGACTTCTAAGCCTTATATTTTTTGTGCTATATGATACCAGCTTTTTACACAAATTCTCCAAATTAACAGAATTGTACTATGCAGCAGTGATATACTTTGTACATAATTACTGTACTAGTAATGGGCTGATTATGGATCTGCAAGAAAATAATTTTTTTTTTTTAAGACAGAGTCTTGCTTTGTCACCCAGGCTGGAGTGCAGTGGTGCCATCTCAGCTCACTGAAACCTCCATCTCCTGGGTTCAAGTGATTCTCCTGCCTCAGCCTCCTGAGTAGCTGGGATTACAGGTGAACACCACCACACCCAGCTAATTGTTGTATTTTTTTCAGTAGAGACAGTTTTGCCATGTTGACCAGGCTGGTCTCGAATTCCTGACTTCAAGTGATCTGCCTGCCTCGGCCTCCCAAAGTGCTGGGATTTCAGGCATGAGCCACCACGCCTGTCCAAAAATAATTATTTATGAGTATATTGCAGAGGTGCAAAAGTGAAGTGAAAGCATCCTCTTTTATGTTGTAACATCACTGAAAACTTATTTTCTAAAATAGTAACTACAGCAATAACCATAGATAATACCTTGGTGTTCAAATGTGATTCTATCTCTTCCTTTCGTCCTGATTTTACTATGGATGGCATATCTATAAAATGTTATACATAGATACATACATGAGAAAATTTATCACTAAATTGTACATGAATTTTATATACATATACAAGTTTGTCTTCACCCATAAATATTTCAGTGAAACAAAAATAACAGGAAAAAAAAAAAGAAAAAAGAATTTCAGGGAATTGAAGAATTGGAGTAGTTTTAAGAAAAAGTTGGTAGTATAAAGACAGAAAAAATGATTGAAAAGAAGTGAATATTATGTTTGGATCTACAGTTTGGTGGTTTTCTATTCAAAGTACTTAATATACACTTTTTTCCGAGACATTCACTAACTTACCACCTCTAATTTTTTTAATAGAAATTAAATTATCATTATTTGTGTGCTTTTGTGGAGCACCCTCAATAATACCCATACCATTTTGTCTTTTTCCATTTGCTTGCTCTGCTGCTTTCTCCTATTAAAAAGAAAAAACAGCAACTTCAGAAAACATTGTATTTACTCACTCACCCACTCTGTCAATAAGACAACAAAAATTTACTGTGTCTATCAAATCGTAATCAATATTTGGGGATAAGCTAAAAATATAAATAAAATTCAGATCCTACCTTATATTTCAGTGAGGTAGAGATATATGAAAGGTAATAAAAACAGAAAAGTATAATCCATGAGTTCTACAACTAAAGGAATAAAGTACAGTACAGGCACAAGGAACAGAACAGTCAATTCTACATGGGAAGCTCAGGAAATGCTGCAAAGACAGACCCATATTTGAAGACCAAGTACGCAGTGAGGGTAGGAAAGGTTTCTAGACAGAGAAGCATGAGCAAAATCATGACGCGTGAAATGACAGGGTACTGAAGGATAGCAAAATAACGTGGTAAAAGTGGAACACAGAAGGAATGGAAAGGAGAGACAAAATGGGAGAATCGGGCCAAACCACAAAAAGATACGGCCCACACTAGAATGGGACCTTTTCCTATCATGTAATGGGGAACCATTCAAAAGCAGAGGAGTTATATATCATTATAAAAACATTTTATAAAAGTCACGTTGGCAGCAACAAAAAGATAAAGATGAACATGGCATGGGAGGAAATTAGACAAGAGCATTTCAAAATTATGAGTCAGAGAGTGAATTACGGTAATGAGATATAAAAAACGCTATGCAGGTAGAAAATAAAGAATTTGCAAGTGACTGAACTGATGATTTGAGAAAGAGCTGAAATGTAGAATTTTTCCTGCTTCAGTGTTTCAGTGCTACGTACTAGGTGTTATTTCCTAGGAAGGTGAAACCAGATGAGAGAGTAGACTGCAAAAAGTCAGGAAAGGGTCAGGAAAGGGTCAAGGACAATGTCTTCAGTGTGGGACACAACAAATTTGAGGCACCCAGAAAGTAAGAGTGGATGACCTTACTCAGGAAAAGCATATAATGTGAAGAGAAGGAATATTTTTAAATTATACTAAACTCACAGAATTAAATAATGGAAACCTATACACTTCTCTGAAATTTCTAAAGTGAAAGCAAGAGAAAAAAATCTTGAGATTCAAAATTTTAATTACACATTTCAACATTTGTTTCAAAGATATAAAATATACTTTTACTAATATACACAAATATTTATTTCTGAAATATTATGGTAATATGCATTTTAAATTGAATGAAAAGATGTCATTCTAAAACATCAACTCAAGATGCTGCTCAAGTAGGACCCCATATTCACATGAGGAGAGAAAAAAAGGACTAAAAATTAAGTCAGGCCAGGTACCGTAGCTCACTCCTGTAATCCCAACACTTACGGAGGCAGAGGTGAGAGGATAGCTTGAGATCAGGTGTTTGAGACTTCCCTGGGGTATATAGTAAGACCCCATTCTCCACACAAAAAAATCAAGTCAGCAGAATTGCTAAGTTTTAGAAATGCAATAATTTATGTGTAAAGTTTAACAACTATGAATATTAAAGTTAATAAAGCTTCCTGACAATAGCATAATGTGTCTTTGTTGCCAGAGATGTTTTTAAAATTAGAAAATCATCTTCTAGAGATAATTGTTGATACTTCCTTAGAAATCTTAACTTTCTTGTAATCCTATGATAACAGGTAGTTTATTTTAGAAAATCATAAATTTTGGTTGCATTTTGATATATGCATATATGTCTATTATGTACTGATGTTATTAGAAATGAGAATATCTCCAGAAATAATTTCTAAATTTATTTCATTTACTTTAATATTTTTATTTGTTTATTTTTGTGGGTGCGTAGTAAGTGTACATATTTATAAGGTACATGAGATGTTTTAATACAAGCATGCAATGTGAAATAAACACATCATGGAGAATGGAGTAACCATCCTCTCAAGCATTTATCCTGTGAGTTGCAAGCAACCCAATTATATTCTTTGAGGCATTTATTCTGTGAGTTGCAGGCAATCCAATTAAATTCTTTAAGTTATTTAAAAATATACAATTATTATTGACTATACTCACCGTATTGTGCTAACAATAGTAGGTCTTATTCATTCTTTCTATTTTTTGTTACTATTAATCATCCCCAACTTCTGCCAAACCCTATTACCCTTCCCAGCCTCCGATAAACATCCTTCTACTCTCTAAGCCCATACATTCAATTGTTTTGATTTTTAAAACCCAGAAATAAGTGAAAACATGCAATGTTTGTTTTGTAAATGATTGGATCTCTTTTCTTGTTTGTTTGTTTTTTGAGACAGAGTCTCACTCTGTAGCCAGACTAGAGTGCAGTGGCACAATCTCGGCTCACTGCAACCTTCACCTCCATGCAATCTCCACCTCCAGGGTTCAAGCAATTCTCCAGCCTCAGCCTCCCAAGTAGCACACCACCACTCCTGGCTAATTTTTGTATTTTTAGTAGAGACAGGGTTTCACCATGTTAGCCAGGATGGTCTTCATCTCTTAACCTCATGATCTGCCCACCTGGGCCTCCCAAAGTGCTGGTATTGAGCCACTGCACCTAGCCAGATCTCATTTTTTTTTTATGGCTAAACAGCACTCCATTGTAGATCTATCTGTACCACATTTTCTTTATCCATTAATCTGTTGATGGAACCTTGGTTTTTATCAAATCTTAGCTATTGTAAATGGTGCTGCAACAAACACAGAAGTGCAGATATCTCTTTGATATACTGATTCCCTTTCTTTTGGATATGTACACAGCAGTGGGATTGCTGGATCAGATTGTAGCTCGATTTTTAGTTTTTTGAGGCATGTCTGAACTGTTCTAACCATAGTGGTTGTACTAATTTACATTCCCATCCATAGTGTACAAGGGTTCCCTTTTCTTCACATCCTCACCAGTATTTCTTGTTGCCTATCTTTAGGATATAAGCCATTTGAGCTGAGGCAAGGTAATATCTCATTGTAGTTCTGATTTGCATTTCTCTGTGATCAATGATGTTGAGTACCTTTTAATATGTCTGTTTTCCATTTGTATGTCTTCGTTTGAGAAATATCTGTTCACATCTTTTGCCCATTTTTTAATTGGATTATTAGATTTTTTTTTTCTATAGAATTGTTTGAGCTTCTTACGTATTCTGGTTATTAATCCCTTGTCAGATGGGTAGTTTGCAAATATGTTCTCCCATTCTGTGGATTGTCTCTTCATTTTGTTGGACTGCATCCTTTGCTGTGCAGAAGTTGTTTAATTTCATGTGATCACATCCATCCATTTTTGCTTTTGTTGCCTGTGCTTGTGGGGTGTCGTTCAAGAAATTTTTACTTAAACTATTGTCCTAGAGATTTTCCCAATGTTTTCTTGTACTAGTTTCATAGTTGGAGGTCTTAAATTTCAGTCCTAAATCCATTTTTATTTGGCTTTGGCATATGATGAGAGAAAGGAATCTAAGCCAGGTGCGGCAGGCTCATGCCCGTAATCCCAACACTTTGGGAGGCTGAGGCAGGTGGATTATCTGAGGTCAGGAGTCTGAGACAAGCCTGGCCAACAAGGCGAAAACCCTACTCTACTAAAAATACAAAAATTAGCCAGGCATAGTGGTGGGTGCCTGCAATCCCGGCTACTTGGGAGACTGAGGTAGGAAAATCACCTGAACCTGGAAGGCAGAGGTTGCAGTGAGCCAAGATCACACCACTGCACTCAGCGTGGGTGACAGATCCAGACTCTGTCTCAAAAAAAAAAAAAAAAAAAAAGACATAGGGGTCTAGTTTCATTCTTCTGTATGTAGATATTCAATTTTCCCAGCATCATTTACTGAAGAGACTGTCTTTTCCTCCAGTGTATGTTCTTGGCACCTTTTTCAAAAACATGTTCAATGTAGGTATGTGGCTTTATTTCTGGGTTTTCTATTCTGTTGCATTTGTCAATGTATCTGCTTTTATGTCAGTAACATGCTGCTTTGATTACTATAGCTCTGTATTATAATTTAAAGTCAGGTAATGTGATTTCTCCAGATTTCTTATTTTTGTATAGGAGAGCTTTGGCTACTCTGGGTCTTTTGTGGTTCCATATAAATTTTTGGATTTTTTTTTCTATTTCTATAAAGAATGTAATTTATATTTTTATGAGATTGCATTGAATCTGTAGATTCTTTGGGGTAGTAGGAAACTTCTAACAATATTGATTTTTCCAGTTCATGAACATAGAATATTTTTCCATTTTTTTGGTATTCTATTCCATTTCTTTACCAATGTTTCATACATTTCATTGTAGAGATCTTTCACTTCTTGGATTAAGTTAATTCCTAGGTATTTAACTTTACATGTGGCTGTTGTAAATTTCTTTTTCACATTGTTCCTTTTTTCTCTTACAGAACAGCACTGAGTTCACTGCCTCACGTTTGCTGTGTCCTCCCTCCCCCTGCACCCAAAGAGACTCTCCACATTATGTCAGACTGCTGGGAATGGGGGAGGGGTGATGTCAGCCATTCAGGACTTTAAAAAATCTCTTCAGTGCCTCTTTCAGTGATATGAAGTTAAAAGTAGGTACTGTGAGTGTTCACCTTACTTTTGGTTCTTATGAGTGAAGGTATTTTTTTCTATGTAGATAGTTGTTGACTTGGTATCCTTGTGGCGGGGGTGGGGGAGGGAACAGTAGAGCTTCCCTGTTCTACTGTTCCTCCATCTTCTACAGGATTCCTCCATCTTCTTCCCTGAATTTATTTCTTTAAGAGGATTGTACTTTGAAATTTATTTTCTCATCGAATGGATAAAATTAAGAACTCCCTTTATATAACCAGAAATGTTAACTAATGAAAAGATTAAATATAATGTATTTCTTTCTTTTCTTTCTTTATTCTTCGAAATATCTAAAACAGCTATCAAGATTATATGAAAGAGTAAGATAAATTAGTTAAGTCATGGATATGCCAAACACTAAGTCAGAAAAGTTAAACAAGAAGCAAGAGTCAAAAATTAAGAATTCATAATATGAACTCACAAGTTTGACTTTAAAAAGAAAAAAAAAATCATAATAATCTGATAAGGCCTAAAACAGATTTCACTGTGCATTATTTATAAACACAGGTCCTACTAGATAAAATATAAGACATAACTTTGCTAAATTCAAAGACGTGAGATAAAAATTTCTTTTTTAAAAATTGATACATAATAGATGTACATTTTTTTAAGTAAATGTGATCATTTGATACATTCATATAATCAAATCACCTTAGTTATTTTTTCTTTTAAATGTACAGTAGATTGATGTTAAGTATAACACCCTTAAATTTTCTTTCAGTTCTTCATAAAAATCGGCTATAATATATTCAAAGGAATCTCAGCAATTTTTTTCATTATCTTTCTTTTCTTAATTTACATTTAAAATAATTCCTATTATTATTTTATAATGTAAAGAGTTCCTGCTCTCATTAAATCCAGTTTGTGCTGTGTTTTTACAATAATCTGACTCAACTTGACTTGACTCAATCTTTACATTTATCTTGCCTTTCTTTAATAAATTCTTCCCCTTCTCATGCCAGTTAGAATGGTGATCATTAAAAAATCAGGAGACAACAGATGCTGGAGAGGATGTGGAGAAATAGGATGCTTTTACACTGTTAGTGGGAGTGTAAATCAGTTCACATTCACCTATGGTAGAAGACAGTGTAGCAATTCCTCAAAGATCTAGAACTAGAACTACCATTTAACCCAGCAATCCCATTACTGGGTATATACCCAAAGACTTATAAATCATTCTGTTATAAAGACACATGGACACGTATGTCTATTGCAGCACTGTTCACAATAAAAAATACTTGGAACCAACCCAAATGTCCATCAATGATAGACTAGATAAAGAAAATGTGGCATATATGCCCATGGAATACTATACAGCCATAAAAAAGATGAGTTCATGTCCTTTGCAGGGACATGGATGAAGCTAGAAACCATCATTCTCAGCAAACTGACACAAGAACAGAAAACCTAACACGGCATATTCTCACTCATAAGTGGGTATTGAATAGTGAGAACACATGGACACAGGAAGGGAAACATCACACACCGGGGTCTGTTGGGCAGTCGGGGGCTAGGGAAGGGATAGGAGAGAGGTGGTGGGGGTTAGGGGAGGGATAGCATTGGGAGAAATACCCAATGTAGATGACAGGGTGATGGATGCAACAAACTACCATGGCACGTGTATACCTATGTAACAAATATGCATGTTCTGCACATGTACCCCAGAACTTAAAGTATAATAATAATTATTATTTTAAAATAAATAAATAAATTATTATCTTTCATCCCCCTCTTCAGCTTCACATTTGTTAAGCTGCAGTAGTGGGTTGCTTTCTAATTCTTTACTGTGTTTCTATTCTGTTTCTCATAAAGCTAAGGAAAAATGATGTATAAATTCACCTCTTTCCAAGAAACAGAGAAAAAAATAATAAATCTTGTAGGGCAATGATAGGTGAATAAAAGCCTCACATAGTTACTAAGTAGAAAGCTACACTGAGTATGCATCAGTAAAGACACACATGCATACATGGATTGAAAGAAGAGACGCTGTAGAGAATGTGTTCTATGAGGAAAAACATAGGTTGAGATAAATCATTTTTAAAAGACTGGGGAGGAGGGAGAAAGAAACCAACAGAGATATAACTTGACCTGTCAATCAAGTATGAGCTTAAAAGAAAGCCAAGAAAAAAAGCCAAAGCCAAGGAAGAGAAAGAAAAACACCACATAGAGTAAGGTACATGGAGAAATATAGATGTATAACAGAAACTTTGGTTCATAGTGTATTTTGAATAATACTGTGTAGCATTTATAATAGCTTTTGGTAAACATTTCTGTGACACAGAATTGAATTTCATACTGTAAAACAAGAAATTCAGCTTGTTAAACATAGTTGTCTACCACTTCCTAAAAGCTGGAACATTATTACCTCAGGGAAAGAAAAATGGAAAAAGAAATATTCCATCAACATTCCACTTGGAGAGAAAATACTAATCAGAATTCTAAACAGTAATATATGGATTGAAAAGATAATATTTAGTAGAATATGGGTTGGGGCTTTAAAAAAAGTTTAAATACTTTAAATCTAAAATCTTAATTTATGCTTACAGCTGGAAGACACTAGAAAATATATTAACACTTTAACCCTCTTTCCTATTGTTGATACATTTCTAATTTATTTTCTTCTTATGTATGACACATTTTCTCAACATAAGACATCTGAGTTTATACATCCTAAATATAAAAGGGAATATACATTTAGGCCAAATCTTATAAATGAATGGATTTAATTATTAGATATGTTAGGCATATTATATTACTGCTAACATTCCATTATATAGAAATGCATTTGTCTGTTCATTTGTGGTACTCCAGGATACAAAAGAAAAGTTCCCTAACCTCCAGTAGCTCATGGTAATAAAGGAGTTTTAAAATGATTATTTAATAAATACAAAAACTTCTGAAATTTGAAATCTTTGTATGTGATGTAAGGATTTTATTCAGATATTTTTAAGAACTACAATATAAATAATTTTGAAATTAAATCATACTGTATGGTTAGTAAGAGTCTCTGCTTCTAGAACTGGTTATTTGGACAAAACAACTATTCTTCAACTGGGGGAAGAGTTTTAAATATATTCTTAATGAAATGACATACAAAACACAGTGGAGTCTCATTGGAACACAGATTTTGAGAAAGAAAATTTAAAATTTCTACATTTTCACAATCTTTTTAAAATCAGAGGCAGGTTCCCGCTAAGTTGCCCAGGCTGGGGTCAGACTCGTGGGCTCAAGCAATTCTGCCACCTCGGCCTCCTGAGTAGCTTGGACTGCAGGCATGCACCACCATGCCCAGCTAAATTTTCACGATTGCTAATATTATTTTAGTCTAGTTACATAACCAAATATAGAAATAGGAAAAAACTCAACCCTAAAAACTATATATATAAAACACTAAAATAATGTGTTTAAGAAAGAAAAGTATATGCTATCTGTTGTACAGTTTTTGAACCAAAAGGCATCAAGGAGATTCCATGATTACTATAAGTAATTAGATCCATTAAAGGTTTATTTCAGTATAAATATTAAAAAGCCATCTTAGTATAACTTAAAAGTCATGCATGATAAGAACACTTATGACCAAATTTCAAATTTGCTCTGTTATGAGAAAGCTTTGCTATTTTAATACAATTTTCCTGTCACTATGTATTTTCCAGCCCATTCTTTTTTCACTCCCACTCCCTCTACATATTTACCAAGTCTTTGTTATTTATCAAAGTAAAAAACGTTCAAAAATGTTTAGTCATGTTTCTGTAAAATGGTTTTTCTCTGATGAACTTTCCATAACCAACATAAAATGATTATAGGTAGATTATTACTAAATTTTTAGAGTAAATGTTATAGAAAATTAGATTCAGGATGAGAAAATTAATTTTGCAAGAGACCTCTTTACCTCAGTATCAAAATCAGAGTCTTCATTAGCTGACGTAGATTGTGAGTGATCAACAGATGGTTTGTTGCAAAGCCTTTAGAATAAAAATATACAGCAAAAATAAGTGTGTTCATTTCTTTAAGCAATTTGCAGGTTCATACCTGGGTGCCCTCCCAAAACAAAACAAACAAACAAACAAAAAAGCAAATCTGGTGAAAAGGCAACTATCTGTATTTAAATAATGTCTCAATATAATTATAATTTGGCCTCTGTTGTGGAAAAGATCTTAATTACCTATTTCTACTTCCTCCTCTCCCAAGTTATGGAATAGTCCATGAAGACTCACCCACAGTTCCATAACAAATCATGACAGCCAATATATTGGTAGAGCCTGAGAAGAACTGGGCTTCACGAATTCTATGTCCTGGAGGCAGAACTTAAAATCCAAGTAACAGCTGACATAACCTTTGTTACCTAAACTGGAAGAAACCCGATAACCTAAAATAAGGTAAAAAGGTCCACTGTCCCTTCTCCATGATCTATCTCTGGTTCAAAGACTAATCTGTGTCACTTAAAAATGGCAGTCCTAGGCCGGGCGCAGTGGCTCAAGCCTGTAATCCCAGCACTTTGGGAGGCCGAGGTGGGTGGATCAAAAGGTCAAGAGATCGAGACCAACCTGGTCAACATGGTGAAACCCCGTCTCTACTAAAAATACAAAAAATTAGCTGGGCATGGTGGCACGTACCTGTAATCCCAGCTACTCAGGAGGCTGAGGCAGGAGAATTGCCTGAACCCAGGAGGCGGAGGTTGCAGTGAGCCGAGATCGTGCCATTGCACTCCAGCCTGGGTAACAAGAGCGAAACTCCGTCTCAAAATAAAAAATAAAAAATAAAAATAAAAAAAATGGCAGTCCTGATTCTTCTGCTTGGAAACCACTTAAGCAGGCCCCCATTGCTTCCCTTTTTTCTAAAATAGTGCAGAATCTTCCCTCGAACTTCTAAAATACTTGAACGTTAAATGTATGAATTTCAAAGGACAAATGTATATATTGTTATTAAAAATACTCTTCCCAGAAATATTAAAACTTAATTATAAAATCTAACTATTTTCCCTAGATAGACTCTGCCCTATTCAGGGCCACATAAAGTACTAAACTCTTAACCTCCATTGACAGATAACAAAGGAGAGAAACTTCTGGAAAAACAGAGTCCTCTTAGTTGTATCTCTATTTCCTTAAGTAGTAGCTAAATACCTTTCTTCCTAACTTCCAGATCCCTCTTCTGCAAGGTTCTGTGGCAGTCTCCTACCTTTAAATCCTCAGCCAATAAAAGCACACATTACTAAGAGTGGACTCAAATGACCAAGAATCAGAGCTCTCAATTTTACTGCTGCTAGAAAGAAAGCTAAATGGAATTTCAGTCATCTTTCCCCAGCATACGCATGTTACCAACTACCAAACTGAAGGTACACGACTGATTTGTCAGACAATCCTAACCCAGCCCTACCCTATGTGGAAATGGGAAGGACAATCAGTGGATTGGGAAAAGAGGCAGAAGTTCAAGGATACGAGTTCTGGTGCACAGATCTACATAGTTCAGGAAGCTTCAGTCCTCTAGTACTGGAGGGACTCTGAGCCATCCCTCTATAAGGTGGGGTGGAAGTAGATAATACTACAATTCAGTCTGCTATAGAGACTCTTCCCAATAGCTCAAATTCTTTTAACAACTTTCAATAGAAACTTTGAAGTTGGTCAGTCACTCTAATTAAACAAATAAAACAGCAACCTTTTCAGGACTCCTTTGAACCACGTAGGTAAATATGCATTTCTAGGTAACTCCCAACATCCTGTCTTCTTCATTACTATAATTTATCTTTATGAAACTTGCCATAAACCCTAGTATTCACTTCTCTTTTCTAAAACACTTATTCCTATCTAGCCCAGTGTTATTTCTCTTCAAACTTGACCTTTCCCTACTAACTTAATTCTTCTCTTCCATTGGGTTCCCGGCTAATTCTCATCCTAGACTCATCCACTGTATTCACTAGACCCGCTTTCCCTCTCTATAATTAAAATACTCACCAACTGACGGTAAAGAAGGAAGAGTAACAGGCTTTGAAATGAGTTCAAATCTCATTTCTGCCACTTCCTGTATACAAATAAGTCACCTTGATCTCTTTTAGTTTCAGATCTCCATCTGAACAACCACATAACCAGAATGTTAAACACAGGTTGAAGTACTAGAGAGTATTGTGATTAGTCACTAACATTCCTTAAAATCCTGAAATTGTGTGTGCTTTTGATTCTATCTATATAAAAATGGGAAATACTTAGCTGCCAGAAATGGAAAAAATGATAGAACAAAATCAACACTACAGAACGCAGAGAAGAAAGTTAACAACTAAAGAAAAAAATTATGGAAAAGTCATGGAGAAAGAAAAAAAATACTCTTAAAAAAGCACGTGGAATTAGGCAGGGTAGTGTCCTAAAGGGAAAATTAAACTAGGGAGTCAGTAAGTAGAGAAATCAATTATAAGTAGCCTCTATTTATATGCTAAATATAACTAACATGATAAGCAAATGTAACACAAATATCCTTCACTTAGAAAAAAATATTTCCTCTTTAGGACGTGGCTGGTCTTGCTTATGTGAAACCTATGCTCTTGTAGACATAGCTAAGTGAGATCTGCCCTAAAATCTTTGATGGTAAAAACAAGATACTGATTACCAATGAAATTGCCACTGAAATATACTAGAAAAAACTCTTAAGCTAACAAGACTTCTAGGAAAAACTATAAATCAGAGTTAACTAAATTTGACTTTCTGAATTGATCTGGTCGGGACCTATACCTTGATTCTAGTGCTATACAGGTCTCTGCCAATCTATGCAGAGGGGCAAGAGAAGGGATTTGGGAGTGAGGCATGCTGCCAGTCAAATCATGATCAGCTACTTGTTAACTATGAGGACATGGGACAATTAATCAACCTCTCTGACCACAGTTGGCTAATTAGAAAAAAGTAGGTTATAATAACAGAGAACCTTTCAAAACTGCTGTCATAACTATATGAGATGAGATGAGATAAGCACGTAAAATAGTGTCTACCCCAGAATACAACACTCAACAGATGTTAGTTTCTTTTCTCTATATTGCCTTAGGTAACATATACTTTTAAAAGCCTTAAGTCCTACCTTTTTACAGGATTTTCAGGAATCTCATCCACTATTAAAGAAAAAGGAATACATTTTAAGTCAACAATGGGAAAACACAGAATATTTAAAGTCTTGATAAGAGGGCCCAGTAGTGTATGTGTGTAATCCCAACTACTCAGGAGGCTGAGGCCAGAGAATCACTTGAGGAGCTCAGGAGTTTGAGACCAGCCTGGGAAGCATAGTGAGACTCTGCCTTCATTAAAAGAAATCATGTATACTTTCGTGCATGCTTTAGATCCTTTTTTTTTTTTCACAAAGTATTCCTTTAGGGCCATACCTTGTGAATTAATATTAATTATACTATTGGTAGGCAATTACTACATTAAGAATTCTTACTTCTCCTCCTTTGTATCAGTCAAATGCAAAAGAGAATGGGATTTGGCAAAATGTGAAACCTACAAGTAAATTGCTGTGTACAATAATCATAATCCTAACCAAACGCTATCAGACTGACTAGCATTATAGCAAACAGAGTCAAACTTCAAGAGCATACTTTCTGAACTAATTAATTAGTAGCACTTAAAACAGAATATACAGTAAGGCTCCCTTATCCATGATAGGTGTGCAAAAACACACTCAACATATTTTTCCTCTGCGCTCACGACACAACCACCACCAACACAGAAGACCAAATGTTGAGGGTCACTACCAACAAGCAAGCAATCATTTCTGCAGTACACACCAGCTGGGTGACCTCGAATTCCATTCCCATGTCGTCTAGCTGGAAATAGTGTCAGATCCCACAGAGGGCTCAGTCCCCAAGGCTCCCCCACCCCCACACCAGACACAAGCCTGGGCCTTCAGAACTCCTGACCAACCATCTTCAAGGTTCTCACAATTCCCACTTTAGGTTTGATTAATTTGCTAGAGTAGTTCACAGAACTCGGGGAACCACTTACTTACATTTCTTGGTTATTTTAAGCATGAAAAAAAGGACACAGATAAAGAATTGCATAGGGCGAGGCATAGGAGAAGAAGTGCAGAGTTTCAGACCCTCCAAGGGTACACCACCCTCCAGGAACCTCCACATACTCAGCTATCTGGAAGCTCTCTGAACACAGTCCTTTCGGGTTTTTATAAAAATTTTACCACATAGCCATGATTGATTAAATCATTCATCATTGGTGATCAACTTAAAACTTTGTCCCCCCAACTTTTCTCATGAGATTAAAGGGTTGGAGGGTGAGGCTGAAAGTTCTAACCCTCTCATCATGCCTTGGTCTTTCTAGTGACAAGCCCCTATCCTGAAGCTCATTAGGGGCTGTCAGCCATAATGAATCATTCATATACAAAGAGACACCACTTTGGAGATTCTAAGGATTTCAGGAGTTGTTTGCCAAGAAAAGGGTTCAAAGATCAAATATATATTTCATAGTATCACATCTGTGGTTTTGCTTTCTGTGGTTTTAGTCACCCATGGTCACCTGACGGTTTGGCTATGTCCCCCCCCAAATCTTATCTTGAATCGTAGTTCCCATAATCCACATGTGTCATGGGAGGGACTCTGTGGGAGGTAACTGAATCATGGTGGGGATGATTCAATAATCATGCTGTTCTCATGAGAGTGAGTGAGTTCTCACAAGAGCTGATGGTTTGATAATGGGCTTTTTCTACCCTTTGCTCTGTAATTCTTGCTCTTACCATGTGAAAAAGGAAGTGTTTGCTTCCCCTTTCACCATGATTGTAAGTTTCCTGAGCCTTCCACAGTGGAACCGTTAGTCAATTAAACTTCTTTCCTTTATAAATTATCCATTCTTGGGTATGTCTTTATTAGCAGTGTGAGAACAAACTAATACATCGCCCATGGTCCAGAAATGTTAAATGGAAAATTCCAGCAATAAGCAATTCATAAGTTTTATATTTTGTGTTGTTTTGAGTAGCATGATAGACTCTCCAGCCATCCCACTCCATCCCACCTGGGACATGAATCATCCCTTTGTCTAGTGTATCTATGCCGTTTATGCTATGTGCGCATTAGTCACTGACTTCGTCTCCTCCTGACATCCAACCAACAACATCATCAAGGCTCAGTAATCCAGGATTACCAGAAGTAGATGATCCTCCTTCTGAAGGTTAATAGTAGCCTAAGACTACATCACAATGCCTATATCATTTACCTCACTTCATCTCACTGCAGAGGCTTTGTATCATCTTCGTAAGAAGAAGCGCAAGTGGAGTACAAGAAGATATTTTGAAAGAATACATACACACACACACACACACACACACACACACACACACACACATATATATATATATATATATATATATATATATATATATATATATAAACTTTTATTATAGCATACACGAAGTTCTAATTAGAAAAAAAAAAAAAAAAAAGTCAGGCTGGCAGGGCCAGAAGAAAGCAAAGAGATAAAGCAAATTAGCTATGTCTTCCTTTCTTCATGGTCCAGAAATTATTTTTTAAAAGAGGAACCAAATAAGCTATAGGTCTCCTTTTCTTTATGGCCCAGGACATACCACCTTCCAGCACAGGTAATGTACATAAGTCACAAACTTCCTGCTTACCATCAAACACTTCAATGTATCAAACCCCACAGCAGACGTTAGAATGCAAGTTAGCTCCCTGCTATCTTGGCATTATCAGTCAGCCTAAGGACAATCCTATAACATTTCCAGCAAGCTTTTGTTTCCTGGAAGCAGGTGTTTTTCTTTCAGGCTGTCCATTATCTTCTTGCAACATATTTTCATGCCTTCTATAATGAATCTGCCTTTCTCGACCTACAGCTGCCTTGGTAAATCCTTTTACCACCATGCCACAGGCCGAGATAGTTGGTTTTCTCCTATGACAGTATATTGTTATCACTGTCCTAGTTTATTATTAGTTATTGTTGTTAAGCTCAGACTGTGCCTAAATCTCACATTAAACTTTATCACACATATGTATATATAGAAAAAACATTACATACACTCAGGTATTCACCACAGGTCCTGGAACATATTCCCCATGGATAAAGGGAGACAACTGTACCTATTTTGTTATCATACAACATAATTTCTCCAACTCTTCAGTTAAAATTATTTAGTTTAGAATAAAATGCTTTAACACAAGGAAGCTAGGTCTATGGGCACCATACTATACAGCAAAACATAGAAAATAGACCAGAAACAAAGATTTTTGCAAATCACTTTCAGCAAGTCAAAGATTCAGCAAATCATATTCCAGCCAATGAAGAGGAGTTCAAGAGAAATATTAAAATGTAATCACTGTCACTAATCCTCTTCTAAGAGGCTAGTTAAATTTACTTAGTTCTAGTGAATTTCTCTGCCCTATGTATGACACAAATAAGGTTCAAATTTACCTACCATTTTACCTCCCATGGAAGGAACCACTGAGATCACTTCCTTAAGAGTTTGCCACTCTGAAATGAAAAAAGACTCCAAGAAATATGGGATTATATGAAAAGTCATAATCTACATTTGATCTGCATACTTGAATGTGATGGAGAGAATGAATCCAAGCTGGAAGACACCCTTCAGGATACTATCCAGGAGAACTTCCCCAACCTAGTAAGACAGGCCAACACTCAAATCCAAGGAATACAGAGAACACCACAAACATATTCCTCATGAAGAGCAACCATAAGGCACATAATCATCAGATTCACCAGGGTTGAAATCAAAGAAAAAATGCTAAGGGCAGCCAGAGAGAAAGGTCGGGTTACCCACAAAGGGAAGCCAATCAGATTCACAGCGGGTCTCTCAGCAGAAACACTACAAGCCAGAAGAGAGTAGGGGCCAATATTCAACATCCTTAAAGAAAAGAACTTTCAACCCAGAATTTCACATCCAGTCAAAATAAGCTTCATAAGTGAAGGAGAAATAAAATAAATAAAATCCTTTATAGACAAGCAATTGCTGAGAGATTTCATCACCACCAGACCTGCCTTACAAGAGCTCCTGAAGGAAGCAGTAAACAAAGGATTAAGCAGTACCAGCGACTGCAAAAATGTACCAAATGGTCAAGACCATTGACACAATGAAGAAACTGCATCAACCAACAGGAAAAACAACCAGCTAGTATCAAATTGGCAGGATCAAATTCACACATAACAATATTTACCTTGAATGTAAATGGGCTAAATGCCCCAATCAAAAGACACAGACTGGCAAATTGGATAAAAAGTCAAGACCCATCAGTGTGCTGTATTTAGGAGACCCATCTAGTGTGCAAATACTTACATAGACTCAAAATAAAGGGATAGAAGAAGATCTACCAAGCAAATGGAGAGCAAAAAAAAGCAAGGGTTGTAATCCTAGTCTCTGATAAAGTAGACTTTAAACCAACAAAGATCAAAAGAGACAAAGAAGGACATTACATAATGGTAAAAGGATCAATGCAACAAGAAGAGCTATCTTAAATATATATACACCCAATTCAGGAGCACCCAGATACATAAAGAAAGTTCTTAATGTCCTACGAAGAGACTTAGACTACCACACAGTAATGGTGGGAGACTTTAACACTCCACTGTCAATATTAGACAGATCAATGAGACAGAAAATTAACAAGGATATCCAGGACGTGAATGCAGATCTGGATCAAGCAGACCTAACAGACATCTACAGAACTCTCTATCCCAAATCCGCAGAACATACATTCTCAGCACCACATCGCATTTACTCTAAAATTGATCACATAATTACAAGTAAATCACTCCTCAGCAAATGCAAAAGAATGGAAATCGTAACAGTCTCTCAGACCACAGTCCAATCAAATTAGAACTCTGGACTAAGAAACACACTCAAAACTGCACAACTACATGGAAACTGAACAACCTGCTCATGAATGATGGATGACTGGATAAACAATGAAACGAAGGCAGAAATAAAGATGTTTTTTGAAACAAATGAAAATGAAGACACAAGGTACCGGAATCTCTGGAAAACATTTAAAGCAAAGACTAGAGGAAAATTTATAGCACTAAATGCCTGCATGAGAAGCGAAGAAAGATCTAAAATTGACACCCTATCGTCAACATTGAAAGAGCTAGAGAAGCAAGATCAAAAAAATTTAAAAGCTAGTAGAAGACCAGAAATAACTAAGATCAGAGCAGAACTGAAAGAGATAGAGACACAAAAAACCCTTTAAAAAAAATCAATAAATCCAGGGGCTGGTTTTTTGAAAAGATCAACAAAATAGACCGCTAGCCAGACCAATAAAAAAGAAAAAAGAGAAGAAGCAAATAGATGCAATAAAAAATGACAAAGGGGATATCACCACCGATTCCATAGAAATACAAACTACCATTAGAGATTACTACAAACAACTCTATGCACATAAACCAGTAAATCTAGAAGAAATTGATAAATTCCTGGACACTTGCACTCTCCAAAGCCTAAACCAGGAAGAAGTCAAAACCCTAAATAGACCAATAAGAAGGGCTGAAGTTGAGGCAGCAATTAGTAGCCTACCAACCAAAAAAAGCCCAGGTCCAGATAGGTTGACCGCCGAATTCTACCAGACATACAAAGAGGAGTTGGTACCACTTGTTCTGAAACTATTCCAAACAATCCAAAAAGAGGGAATCCTCCCCATATCATTTCATGAGACCAACATCATCCTGATACCAAAACCCAGCAGAGACTCAACAAGAAAAGGAAACTTCAGGCCAATATCCATGATGAACATAGATGCAAAAATCTTCAATAAAATACTGGCAAACTGATTGCAACAGCACATCAAAAAGCTTATCCATCACAATCAAGTAGGCTTCATCCCAGGGATGCAAGGCTGGCTCAACATAACGCAAGTCTATAAACGTAATTCACCACATAAACAGAACCAAAGACAAAAACCACATGATTATTTTAATAGACGCAGAGATGGCCTTTGACAAAATTCAACAGCCCTTTATGCTAATAACTCTCAATAAACTAGGTATTGACAGAATGTATCTCAAAATAATAAAAGCTATTTACGACAAATCAATAGCCAATATTGTACTGAATGGACAAAAACTGGAAGCATTCCCTTTGAAATCTGTGACTAGACAAGGATGCCCTCTCTCACCACTCCTATTCAATATAGTATTGGAAGTTCTAGCCAGAGCAATCAGGCAAGAAAAAGAAATAAAGGGTATTCAATTAGGAAAGGAGGAAGTCAAATTGTCTCCATTTGCAGACGTCATGATTGTATATTTATAAGACCCTATCATCTCAGTCCAAAATCTCCTGAAACTAATAAGCAACCTCAGCAAAGTCTCAGGATACAAAATCAATGTGCAAAAATCACAAGCATTCCTATACATCAATAACAGACTTCAAGAGAGCCAAATCAAAAACGAACTGCCATTCACAATTGCTACAAAGAGAATAAAATACCTAGGAATACAACTAGCAAGGAATGTAAAGGATCTCTTCAAGGAGAACTACAAGCCTCTGCTCAACGAAATAAGAGAGGACACAAACAGATGGAGAAACATTCTGTGCTCATAGTTAGGAAGAATCAATATAGTGAAAATGGCCATACTGCCCAAAGTAATTTATGGATTCAACACTATCCCCATCAAGCTACCAATGACCTTCTTCACAGAAGAACTGCTATGTACAGCATATCATGTCATATTTTTCTGTGATATTATATTAGTGGTCTGCAAGAAAATATTTTAAAGATACCAGTTTCTTCAAACTGCTGATCTGTAAACTATTTCTGATCAAAACTTAAAATTTTGTCAAAATATGGCTTTTTGTTGTTGTTGTTGTTGTTGAGATGGATTCTCACTCTGTGGCCCAGGCTGGAGTACAGTGGTGTGATTTTGGCTCACTGCAACCTCCACCTACCTAGTTCAAGTGAGTCTCCTGCCTCAGCCTCCTGAGTAGCTGAGACTACAGTCAATATGCAACCACACCAAGATAATTTTTTGTATTTTTAGTAGAAATGGGGTTTCACCATGTTAGCCAGGATGGTCTCGATCTTCTGACCTTGTGATCCACCTGCTTCAGCCTCCCTAAGTGCTGGGATTATAGGTGTGAGCCACTGCACCCAGCCATGGCTGCATTTTGATTCCATGTCAGAGAA